AAAAAAAAAGAACACTTCCTTGTATGTGTGTGTATAGCATCCTTTCACTTATAGCCTGTACACTTCAGGATAGATCTTAAAATGCTCTTTTTTATAATGAATGCCATACCATTTCTCTTCAATGCCATTGGACAAACAGGCAACATGGTGACAGTTGGAGAAAAGACTGAAGTTGTCAACAATTTCATTTCCATTGGATTCACAGTCAAAACTCACGGAAGCAGCAATCAAGAAATCAAAAGACTAGTTTCAGTGGGGAAATCTGCTGCCAAGGACCTCTCCAAAGTGCTGAGGAGCTAAAATGTGAATTTAAAGACTAAGGTGCACCTGATTCAAGCCATGAATTTTTTTTTAATTTCAATTCCTTCCCATACAACTGAAAACTGGACAAAGAATAAAGATGACAGAAGAAGAATTTATTTCTTTGAACTGTAGTATTGATGAGGGATACTGAATATCTCCTAGACTTCCAAAAGAACAAACAAATCTGTCTGGAAGGAAGGGCAACCAGAATGTTCCTCAGAGACAAGGATGGTGAAACTTCTCACTTACTTTGGGCATAGTTTCAGGAGGAATCTGTCCTCCTGCAAGAGATAACATGCTGGGAAAGGCAAAGGGTCAATAAAAGAGAAGACTCTCCAGGAAACGGGCTGTCACAGTGACTATTACTTGAGTGGGAGAGAGATCATAAGGAAGGCACAGGACAGGCAAAGTTCAGACCCGTATGCCATAGGGTTGCTCTGAATCACAGTCGACTTCAAGGCATATAACAAACAAACAACAACACGTCTTATTTAAACATAATGTGGCTTAGCTACTGAACAGCTATTTACCAAGACAGTTACCTTTCTCTCCCTTCTTTTCGTGATCGCATGATCTGATTGATTTCCAATGCTGTTAGTTTCTTTGCCACACGATATTGCCAGATATAAAATGCTTCTTTTGAAGCTGCTATCACATGAGTTTTGGTCATCGCAACAAATAATGGCACTATTAAAAAGAATAAGAAAATAAGCTATAGTAAATAAAAGAATGTTAAAATGTTTTACAAAGTACAGCAATAACCATATTCAACTCACACACAGCCTCAAAATGCCCAGTCTCTGAAACAAGAAATGAATCTAAAGTAGGACCACAAGAAAACACTTGACAACATATTTTCCCAATGCAGCACATCTTTTCATTTCTTGATTGCTGATACCATGGGTGTTGACTGTGTATCCAAATAAAATTAAATAATTTTCAATCACAAAAAAAAACCTGAAACAAATTTCAGATTTGTCAAAGCTAAAATTCTTCTATAAAACAGGTGGATTAAAATCTTCATGTGTTTCAGTTAGGCAAACGTTTCTTAAATCAGAAGCACAAATGACAAAAAAAAACAGTAAAAGTGAATTTAATAAAATTAAAATCATATGTATATCAAAGTATACCATTAAAGATGTGAAAAGACACTTGACAGAATAGTAAAAAATACTTGTATACATGTAGCTGATAAAGAAATGTATATCTAAAACACATAAAGGACTCAACAATAAAGATAACTAAATTTCATAATTGATAAAGGAGACGTACAAATGCCAGTAAGAACATAAAAAGTTTTTTTAAACATCATTCATTATCCATTAGGGAGTTTCAAATTAAAACCATAAGAAGATCCTAATTCACATTCACTGTCTTTGTTGGTAAATGCCATGAACTACAACTCATAATTATGAAAAACTGTACCACACCTTGTGCCATTCTCATGATCTCTGTCATGCACAAACCCACTGTTACAGTCATTGTGTCAATCCATTTCACTCTGGGTCATCTTCTCTTTCCTTAACCCTCTAACTTTCTCAGCATAATATTATTTTCCTAAGAAATGGCTACTCCTGACAAGAAGCCATAAGGATGTGAGAAAAGTTTCACCATCCTTGCCTCTAAGCAGCACCCTGGCTGAACTTCATCCAAAAGAGATTTGTTTGTCCTGTAGTTCATCCATGGGATGTTCAGAACTCTTCTCCAACACCACAGCTCAAAAGCATCAGTTTTGTCATTCAAAAAGCACGTCATGTATTAAAAGAACAAATTCAAGCCATGAGTTGCAATACTTAAGGATGCTTTGAGCAGAATAGTAAATAATCCAAGAAGCATTAAAATAAAGGTGGAAGGGTAAAGAGAGTCACTGTTCCAAAAGGTACTGGCTGACATAGAAGAATTTCAAGAAACAATGTATGAGCAAGAGCCTGTGGTGATGAAGAAAGAAGTTCAAGCGGCCCTGAAAGAACTGGCAAAAAACAAGGCTCCAGGAATGGATGGCATACCAATTGACATATTTCAACAAACACATGCTGTCCTGTATGCACTCACTAAGTTGTGCCAAGAAATCTGGAGGACAAGCACTTGGCCAATTGACTGGAAGAGATCTATATTTGTTCCATTCCAAAGAAAGGTGACCCAAAAGAGTGCAGAAATTATCAGACAGTATCACTGATATCATATGCAAGCAAGATTCTGATGAAAATGATTATAAAGTTACTGGAGCAGTACATAAACAGAGAACTGCCAGATGTGCAGGCTGAGTTTAGAAGAGACCGTGGTACTAGGGAGATTACAGCTAATGTTAAATGACTCTTGGCTAAAAGCAGAGAATACCAGGTGAATATCTATCTGTTTCAATGACTATGCAAAGGCGTTTGACTGTGTGGATCACAACAAACTGTGGCTGACTCTGAGAAGAATGAGAATCCCAGAACACTTGATCGTGCTAATGAGAAACCTATACTTGGACCAGGAGGCAGAACAGAGCAAGGAAAACACTGCATGGTTCAAAATTGGGAAGGGTGTACACCAGGGATGTATTCTGTCTCCATGCCTTTTCTATTTATATGCAAAACAGGTCATCTGACAGGCTGGGCTGTATGAGGAGAAAGGTGGCATCAGGATTGGAGAAAGTTTCACCAACAACTGCGTTATGGAGAAGGCACAATCCTGCTTGCTGAAAGTGAGGACATGAAGCACTTGCGGCAGAAGATCAAGGACAGCAGCCTTCAATATGTATTGAAGTACAACATAAAAACAAACACACAAAAAACCCAACAAAGATTCTCACTACTGGGTCAACTGGCAGCATTATGATAAATGGTGAAGAGACTGAGAGTGTTAACAGTTTTAGTTTCCTTGGCTTCACAATCAACACTCTTGGTACCAGCAACCAAGAAATCAAGATATGAACTGCATTGGGAAAGGTGGCTGTCAGTGACCTCTCCAGAGTCCTGAAGAGCACCGATGTCTGTCTAGAGACTAAGATGTACCTTATCCAGGCCACAGTCTTTGCAATTGCTTGCTGTGCATCAGAAAGCTGGACAATGACTAGTGATAATAGAAACAGAATTGATGGCTTTCAGCTGTGGTGCTGGAGAAGAGTGTTGGAATATACCATGGACTGCTAGGAGAACAAACAGGTTTATGCTAGAGAGGGTGAAGCCAGGCTGCTCCTTGGAGGCAAGAATTCTGAGGCTTCATCTGACATACTTTGGGCATGTTGCAAGGAGGGACCAGTCCTTGGAGAGGGACATCATGTTTGGGAGAGTGGAGACCTTTGATGAGATGGACAGATACAATAACTGGGATAATGAGGGTAGGTGTGTCAGAGACAGTAAAGTTGGCACAGGATAAAGCAGGGTTCAGGGCTGTTGTACATAGGGTCACTATGAGTGGCAAGTGACTCAACGGCACATAACAACCACCACCATAAAATCAGATCTGTCTCACAGCTGACACTCCAGAGTATCTTCAGTGGCTATAAACTACACTGGATGAGACTGTCCATTTTTATCCCGTAAGCAGCTAGTAGATTTGAACTGTATTTAGGTTGGCAGTACAACTCTCTACTATTAAGCTATAAGAATTCCGTATAAAGTACATTCTTCTTGTTATATACCATCAAGTTGAAACCAACTCATAGTTGACCCTCCAGCGAGTTTTGAGAGGCAGTAAACTGCACAGAAGGAGACAGCCCATCTTTTTCCCATGGAGCAGCTGGTGGATCCAAACCATGTGCCTTCAGGTTGGAAGTGCAACCCCTTAACATGAGGACACCAAAAGCTCCATGGTGAATCAAGTGCACAGTATTCCTCACAATAAATATGACTAAGCAAAATCAGGTGTAAATTATTTCATTTTCTTCATAAACAAAATCTATAGTAGCTTTCATGCCTTATTTTTCTTCTTCCAAGAATAGATTTGATTACCCATTTGATTATCCTTAGTTTTCTGACTAATTGGAATAATAGAATATGAAACAGATTATAAAAATTGCTTTTTTTTTGGAGTTGGTAGGGCTATTGACTCAATTCTGATTCACAGCTACCCTGTGGATAACTGACTGACATCCTGCCCTATCCTGCACCCTCCTCACAGACTCACTGTTCAATGATCAAACCCTTGGCTGCAGTCACTGTGTCAATCCATCTGGCTGGGTGTCTTCCTCTCTTTCTCTGTTTTTCTACTTTTACAAGCATGATGTTGTCCCCCAAGAACTGGGCCTTCCTGAGAACAATGGCCAGTGTAAGACAAATTCATCAATCCATGTTTTTAAGGAGCACCTGAGCTACAGCTTCTTCCAAGACAGATTTTTTTTTCCATTTTGCAGTTCACAGGCATAAGAGCTAATATTTACTCATTTTCATTCTGTTGTTGTTGATTGCCTTCGATTAAGCAAGAGTCATAGCGATCCTATAAACAAAAGGCCTGAAACCTTTTTTATAACTACAATATTTATCAAAGTTCATAGAGTTTCTGGAGGCATGTTGTTTAGGAAGTGGATGCCCCTCCAGTTTCTTACTAAATTTCAAAGCATTTTTAGTTCAGCATTTCTTTAATTTCCAGAATCCTGTAAGAGGGACACTCCACATATATGGAGGTATTTCATCCTTAAAGATCATATATAATAATTTATAAAATACCTGTATTCACTACTTATTACCTTTCGACACAAACTATACAAAGAGCAATTGCCAGGATTAACTATATTTTTATACAAAAAATTGCATTTGACAGCAAGAATATAAGAAAGAGGAAAGCATCAACAATTAGAAAACTTCTTGTGATTATAACGGAAGCTATCATTCCCCTGCAGGGATGAGGGAAACCAAGAAGACGCAGTCCCATACAGAAGACTTTATGGAGAGGAATAGTGTTCTTTTGTTATTTTTTAAAAATAAATAAATAAATAGAGACTTGTCAACTCCAACTCCATATGGAAGGAACCGGAAGAATAAACTACCCTAACCTCACTCTCCTCATTTCTTGGCCCCTCACTGGTCAAGAGACTAAAAGCCATAGAAATGTAATGAGGTCATGAAAGAATAGCATGTTAGGATTGAACGGACAAGTAGGTAAATCTGTGATAAGAAAAGAATGCAAGTCATGTAGACTTTGTGGGTCCTAAGTAAGATGCCTCTCCTAGTACAACAAATTTGATAACTCTTCATAAAATAATTTGTAAATTTAAATGATATAATGAATGAAGAAAATGTTGGGAAACTATACTTTAGAAATTACTACTATATGGTACTTCCTGAAATTTTTGAGCATCAGTTCTTTTTTGGTACAGTGACTCTGTGTATTCGCTCCACCTTCTTGTGATGCTTCCTGGGTCACTGAATATATTGTCCATAGCAACTTTTAATAATGTAACTTGAGGCTAAATTTGTTTTCCCGTTCTCTCAGCTTGAGAAATGCAGAGCAAGTTCTTCCCTTTTTATTCTCCAATTCCAGCTCTCTGTACATTCATTCCATTATAATACTTTGCTTTGTCTTCTCAAGCTACCCTTTGAACTCTTCTTTTCAAATCTTTTGCTTCATCATGTTTTCTCTTCCTTTTGGCTTCTTGATGCTTTAGTGCAATTTTCAGTCTCTTTTCATAATACTATAGCATAATTTAAAAGAAAAAAGTGTAAACCACTACTGAATAAAATGTGAGAATCAGTAGTCTAATTGAA